CATCCCCACCAAGTGCCTCGCACATATCTCTAATGTTACATATCCAAATAGAATTCTGAATCTCATCTGTACCTCTGTGCCTACCACTATCTCCTGGCTAACATAGGACAGAATCAACTGGGTATCAACCTTAATTAATAACTTTCTTTTATTCCCCACCCCTAAAACAGGGAATTTTGCAGCTAAAACATCATTTCAAATTCTTTCACCAGTCTAACACAACTATCATGATCTCCCTTTGGACAATTTCAACAGTTTCCATCCAAGTTCTGTTTCTCCTCTTACATCTTTCCAATTTATTCTCCCACTGCTATCAACTTGCCTTGTTTAAACACTAATGGGGTCATCTTATTTCCCTTCTTAAAACCCTGTAATTCCTTTCCATCATGTTTATATAAATTTTAAATTTCTCATGGTGGCTTCCAAAACCTGCATTTTGTCTCTGCCAAGTGATCTAGCTTCTGCTCCTATCACTCTCAGAGCTCCTGAGCTCCAGGACTTCCTGATAAACAACAGTTACACAGGATCAGAGGGTACTATTAAACCAACATTGGTTAGGTTTAATGACTGGATCTTGATGATCATAAAAAGTAAATCAACTTTTAGTCAGTTTTCTTAGTCTTTGTATTCTGTGTTGCTTACGCCTAGATGCACTGCTCTTGTCAGTACTTCCTTTGCAGACCACCCAATTATTCCAACAGGCCCAAGTCCCTTGTGCTTTAGATTCTCCATGCATACATTCCCTTAGTCTGTGACACTGTTCCCAAACTTCCCAGGACTAGATTCTTACTTCTTGAAGCCCTGCTTAAATGTTACTACCTAAGAGGAATCTTATGAGTCAGCTCTAACTAAATATATACAGCCTTCCTCACCCCTTTTACATACTCTCTCTTTGTCTTCTTGCTTCCTTGATTCTTCTTTTCACTATTTATAATTATGTTTTTCATTTGAGATTTTTTCTTACATTATTAGTCCAAGAAGTCAAGACCAGTTTTTTTAACCACTATATACCAGTAACTATTAAATGCCTATAATATATAGTGTGCTCAGTAAACATTAAATGAATGAATGAATCCATTTATAAATGTGTATAATGCATAAATACTTATAAATTTTTCACTCCTGGTTTGTTTTCATTAATTAAAGTTATCATCTCCTTTCTGATTGTGACTTATTACAGCATTATAATTTGCAAAATTACTTAGAATATACAAGGAAAGAATGCCAATGGAAATGAAAGCCCCTTTGTACCCTTTTTTGCATATAGAATGACAAAAACTGGTTAGAGATTCAATATATAAACCAGGTAGATAGAGCATGGGAGACTGTAAGGGAGGCAATACTTTTCCCACTGTCTTTACCTTGCCTTTTCCTGTATCACAGAAAGACATAGTGTTAAATGCTGAACTGAATCTCATCCAGCTCTTTTATTTTATAGATATAGAAATCTTGACCTGGGGAGGTTAAATGTCTTCCTCTCAAATCCCACAGAGTTCCTGGCAGAATCAAGACTAAATTCTAGGTTTTCTTGACTTCCAATCCAATGGACTCCCCTTTAGTCACTTATTGATCCCATTTCCACTGAGTTCTCCCCCTCATCTGTACCAGTTTTCCCAATGAAGCCTAACTTGCTCTCTCTGGACACTGTACATTCCAAAACAATCATTCTCTTCTTTGTAGAATACTCCCTTTTTCTATAACATCATCAGCTTCTCTGAAAAAAAGTAGACCTATTCCAGAGGATTAATGCTAAGGTTGTGTGTGTGTGTGTGTGTGTGTGTGTGTGCGTGCCGTGTGCGTGACATGTGGTGTGGTGTGCGTGTACATGCTCTTCTACTCATATCTAATCTTATAATTAGAACTTCTCAAAGTTTCAAGGGCCACATCATTAATTTTCAAGAACTCATTTGGGGCCTGTGTCTACAGCTGACAAGGCCAATATTCTCTGAAAGATGCAATAGATCTCCTAAGCACAAGTTCCTGAACTCTTTGAGTTAAGTTCCCAACAGTTTCCTTCCATCCCATTTTTGCAATATTTCACAGCAAAGCAGTCTTCTGCAAGATGGGAGTACATGATATGTCACTGAAACCTAGACATAGTTTTCTCATTCTTTTTCTCAAGGGAAAAGGGCAAAACCCTAATGAAGAAGAATGGCAGTGGTTGTGACCAACTGTAATGGGGATGGAGCTCAATGGTAAAAACACTGGCCTAACATGCACAGGCCCTGGGTTCAATCTGTAGCACCAGAAAATAAAAGGATAAACCACCTATGGAGCATCATGTCTCTGTTAAGACACCACATAGTAAAAGAACTTATTCATATTTGTTCAGCAGTGATGTAAGAACTTTTCTGAATGCATAAACATGGGTCTCTAATCAGTAGATACTTAGGTACTTTCTAGCTGCATAACTCCAGACAAGTTACTATATTTGCCTAATTTCCTCATTTGTAAAATAAAGATTATAATGACTCTCATAAGATATTTGTGAGTACTATATGACTGAATATATACCAAATGTTTAGAACAGGGCCTGCTATTTTTCAAGCCCTGAATAAGAGTTTGTGATGATCATTAATATTATTTGATAAAGTTTCAAATGAAATGGTCTTATTTAAATATCCAACTCCATAATTGGAGTTGATTGTTGCAAAACTCAATTATTTCAGAGTTTTAAGCTTACCCTCTAGCTCATATTTGAGGATTAGCTCTGGATGCTCTTTCATTCTCTCCTTTCTTAAAAATAGGTTTTGAATATTAATAATGCAGGGCTCTGAGGCAAAATTATAGCCTATGTCTCCAACCTAGAGAAACTTCCTGCCCTCAAAATTAAAGTAGAATTTCACTTAAAGATATTTTTTTAAATAGATGGAAGCATAGACCCAGAGATGAAGGAGGCTCCTTTCTTCTGCTTAATCAATGGTTCACAATCTTTATCCAAGAAGTAAAAAGCAACTAGTATACAAGAGATGAGTAGATTATGTGTAAATATTTCAGAGCTTGTCCTAGAACTTCTCAATCTCTCCAAAACCCCAGGCTTTCTGCATCAGAATACAAGAGAATAAATCCAGGCTTTTCCCTCTCTATGAACCTAGAACTCCTACTTGCAAACAGAAAAAGTGACCATAGTTTCTTTCCAATCTATGAGAACTCACTTCTCTTCAGCATTTTCATCCATATTTTAAGTCAGATTATTCTAATCCTAAACATTCCATAGCACCACAGTATCAGTCTTAAAATCAAAATTTAACATCAAGAAAAATAGCTGAGAAATCATTTGCCAAATAGAAAAACATCGTCTTTCTAAAATGGCTAAAACTTCCCAGGTGATTCATGTGTCTGAGATTGTTAATACTGGAGTAAATAGACGAGTGAGCAGAATGACATGGAAGGGCCTAGAATCTGCTTCAACTTATGCTACTGAATTTCACAACAACATTTATTTCAAAATAACTTACACAAGTCATGATTCAGTATTATTCATGAATTTGAATAATTACCTTTAAGTTTCTAGGTAAGTTATGACTTTTAAAGGGTGTGTGTGTGATACTTTCAAATTTCATAGACAATTATGCTACTTTGATCTTATTACATTTGAAAAGTGAAATATTCTCATTGACATTTACAAGTAATTAAGCACGTCTTGCCTTGACTCAAGCAGTCTTCAAATCCACACCCACCTGACCAATTATTGTTCTATACTTTCAAAAACTTTTTTAAAAAAATAAAGCTGTTCCCAGGGCCTAAGCTAAAGCCTGGCTATTCACAGTATGGTTCATGAATCAGAAGCATAAGCACTAAGAAGCTGAAATGCATGATCTTAGTCCTCACCCAGACCCACAGAATAAGAACTTGCCTTTGAACAAGACCTCGTGTTATCTATACGCACATTAAAATTTGAAAAGTAGTAGCTCAGAGTAGTATTTCTGTGTCTTAAGATGTTGGTAAAATGACCACCCACATTGGAATCACCTGCAATTCTCTTCTTAAAAAGTAGTTTTTTGGACCTTGTCATAGACTGAGTGGAGCAGACTCTCTGGGTGAGTGTCTCAGAAACTGCTTTTTAAACAAGTGCCTCTCCCTGATACTTAAGTAATCTAAAGCTTAAAATTACCAGAGAAACATTTCAGCATATTACATGTTTTATCATGTTCATATATATGATCCCCTCATGAGACTAAAATCACTGAGCAACAAGAAGTGATCAACAGCACATTTAGCATAGAAATACAGAGAGACAGACAGACAGACACACACACACACATACACACACACACACACACACAGCATTAGGAATAAGTGCAAATTAACTGCCTTTAATGCTGGAAGAAAAAAAACAGCCAATGAGATTCCCTTGAGCACAAGGAATGGAATGCAGACTAACTAGTTAATTGTATCAGAAAGGAAAGGGAGTAAATCATGAGTAATAACATCATTGTGCCTTTTGTACTCATGTTTAAACAAGAGAACTCCTTGAAACATTCTTAAAAATTTGATTCTAATAAGTTACTTTCAATCAGGAAAAAGTATTTTCGTGTCTATTAAACATGACAAGAAAATATTCAAAATATTAAAAATATACTGTCGTTATCTCTCATATAGATGCTTAAAGGTGTTACTTTATTCATGGGGCTCTGTAGAAGAACCAGTCAATTTTTGGGATGATTAGAAATTTCAGTTGGGTGCAAATTTTACTTTCCCTTTAGGTATTTAGCATGACAAAAGCACAACAGACTTGATCTTGCAAGGTCCAAATTACCCTACAAACACCAGGATATCATGAAATAAATATCATGTCACACTCCATGCACATCTAGCTAATATTGTGCTAAAATATTTAAAACATAAAATATCTGAACACTCAGGGCTTTATTTTTTTCTGCTCACAGAAAGATAAACAAAAAAGGGGGAGGCATACTAACAAGAATAAAAAATTATATTTGAAAAGCACGAGCAATTTTTAACACATTTGGAATCCTACTTTCAGAAACATGACATACCTCAGAATATAGGATTCCCATGCTGCTATTTCACAGGCTTACTTCAATGCTAGCTTCTTCGATCTTCTGGACGTACTTCTGGTTAACATCAAGATTCTTCCCAGAAAGAAAAGTCCCTAGAGGTTCAAATTGGTGGCAAGCCCCTTCGTTCCAGACCTGTCAGTGCTTTTTCAGCAACACAGACAGCAACACACCTAGAGAGACCAGCTAATGAAGCAAAGGTATTGGCTTACCATGCAATGACCCAGGCAAGCAGTGTATCATTTCATGTAACAACCTGAGGAGCCGGTTTCTGAGTCATATTTGCTTTGCCAGTGCTAGCATACAAGAAAGAAGGAAGCAAAGTTGGGTTTGGGAGGGGTGTTCTTAGATTGGCAGGAAGGACTCAGGGTTCAAAATAGGATACTGTGTTTAGGACATTTCCTAATTGAATTCTGGTGTTCAGTGGCCATTGAGAAACACCAGAGGTCAACAAATTCACATACGTGAGCCATAGATGTCTAGCAAAGGCCTTGGCAAATAATCCTCAAATTTCTCAAAAGTCATTACCAGCAAGTAATGCTTCCCCTGCTATTTAAACAGTAAGCAAATAAATTAAACTTACTTTTTATTTTTAAAACCTTTTAATCAGAAGATAATAATTATACACTATACTTATGGGGTCCTTTAATATAATTCGATACATGTATACAATGTATGAATTGTACACATTCATACATTGAATGTATGTATGAATGAATGAATGTATGTATGAATCAAATCAGAGTAATTAACATTTCCATGTCATTACACAATTATTATTTCTTTCTGTTGGGAATCTTCAAATTCTTCTCTCCTAGTTCTTTATGAGATATATAATAAATTGTGTAAACTATAGTCACCCTTCTGTGCTGTAAGAACACTAGAACTTATTCTATCTGTGAACTGTACTTTAGCACCAGTTATTAAACCTCCTCTACCAGCCCCCACCCTTCCTGGCCACTATTTTATTCAACCTTGTAATATAACAAATTTTAAGTTCTCTTAAATATCCTAATACTGTTTAGAAATTTGGCCAAATTATTTCAAAACATTCAACTTAACAATTATGTTGAAAATAAATTCCTCTATTACCCTTTTTTATTTAAATCATCAATTTAAGCATGCTAAAATTCTTCAGTAATTTATGTATAGTACTAATTAGTCACACATTTTCTCTTAATACAACCATATCAAAGTACCGTTTTGAACTTTCCCAGAATTAAAATACCACCCTTCCCATACACACATAGCCATGAAAGAAATAGTTCAATTATCCCAAGCAAATTGATTTGATTTTCCCAATCCGTTAAGGCTCTTTTGAGGCCAAAGATTAGGGACCACGATCCAAGGCCTATGCCTATACCTGCTCAGGAAAATTCTTCCTACTCCATTGATGGACACTGAGTTTTAGGGGAGAGGTTTTGGTGGTGTTTTGTTTATTTGAGGGGGAAGGTGTTTGTTCATTTTAGTTTTTTGTTTTTATGGTTCTGGGAATCCAAACCGGGCCTACTGCATGCTGGGTGAGCAGTCTGCCACTGAGCTACACCCCCAGCCCTCTGGAGTCATTTTTATAACTGTTGTAACAAGAATTACATACTCTACAATGAAGTTGCCATTGAGGCCAACCTCCACGAGTTTAAAAATTAGCTAATTCCTCCGTTAGGGGAAATAGAAGCCTGCAATACACACCAAGATTGCAGCTGACTTCCTCTTCAGTTTGGTTTGATTTTGCATCTTTTGTTTCCTAACATATTTGTCTTCCCATTGACTTAGAAAAACATTGATGTTTTCTCCTCTGGGTACTTTACTCTCTTAAATAAATCTTTTATAACCCCTCAAAGCCTCCTTGTAGCCTCTGAACTAATGTATGTAGTCGGAGTTCTTCCCTCTCCCTACCTTCTTGCTAAAGTTGCTGTTGCTTCCTTCCCCAAGCTTTCCTCTCAGACTGAATGCTATAAATTTATTTAAATAATTTTTTATTAGGATTGCAATTCATCTAATTGGATTCTGCATGTCTTTGTTGATGTCAATGCTCATTTTATAATTATGAACGATTAACTGTTTCAATGTAGATCAACTCTTAAAAAAACCAAAAAGACCAAAAACTCATTGAGATTAGTAAAACACTTGCATTTAATTCTAGGCCAGTGGGTTTTACTCAGGGAAGATCTTGACCCAAAGTAGACGGTCAGATTTAGCAAATAAAAATATAAGATGTTCAGTTAAGCTTGAACTTCACATAAATTTCTGGAATATTGAATGGAATATACTTATGCTAAAGAAATTGTGTGTTGTTTAACTGAAAACTAAAGACTTTTGGCAATGTCTGGAGACATTTTTGGTGGTCACACTTAGCATGGAGGCTTGTTATTAGCACCTGTTGGGTAGCAACCAAGGATGGTGCTAAACATCCTACAGAGCACAGGACAGATTTTTATAGCAAAAAATTATATAGTCCAAAGTAATGCTAAAATAGAGAAACCTTGGTCTAACCCAATATATTTGGTGAAAGAAGAGAACCTGGCCAAGTACTGTGTCACAATAGAATATAGTGAAATAATGTCAGAATAAAATCTGATAAACATATGATTTGGGGGTGGGTATTGGAGTTTGGACTTGGGGTTTCATGCATGCCCAGCAAGCACTCTACCATTTGATCCATGCCCTCCCATCATTTTATAATTTTTTTTATAAAATTATAAAAAAATTATAAATTTTAAAACATGTTCAGGGTTTGCTCACTGGCAAATTGAGCCCATAATTACAAAGTTGAGAAAAATGCAGTGACTTTCACACATGAGGTCTTTTGTCAAGAAATAATGTCTGATTCAGACACGGAGGTCTTAAAATTAGAACCACTCATTTGATTCTGGCTATAGGTGGGAACAACCTTAGCTGACCAGCATCCGGCTCCCTGTGAGGAGTAAGGGGCTCCTGTAAGGTGTATCCCAAACACTTCCTCTGTGAGGATTCACAGAGTATTTAGGGAGTGTGGTTCACAGAAGCTCAGCACTTTACCTGTGTCATAATCCTCCAATATTGTTTAACAGCTGCCATTGGAGGAACTTAAGTAAAGGAGTGTTGTTATCAGAATGTTATTTATATTGTAAAGTTCAATATGATTATTGTAGGAGAGTGGAGTTGAGACAGGCAGGAAGGAACTAGTCATACCAACTAGGAGGCAAGAATTCATGGTAATTTAAGCCAGGAGAGCACACACAGGATCAGGAGAAGATGGTGAACTCCCATGTTCAGAGAGCACAATAATAGACTTTGTTGGCAATGAATCATTATGCTGTTATCCTCAGGTATCAAATGTACTTTTCTATTACATTTTGTTCTAAGTAGCTGACACTAGCAATCTGCAAACTACACACACTTCCCCACACCATTACCGCCTCTGTTGGAGCCTACAAGGCTAGGGAGGTAAAGACACCTGCTCATTTCTACATGTTTACTGATCCTATCAGCATCATCCCAATAATGACTTTTCATTCTAGATATAGTAGTGAGCAGCAGCTCTCTCTCCCCCAACTCAACTTCATGCAACTCTACCCTTGAGACTGTGAGGAACAGTCCCTCCAGACTTAGAATTCAGGGTTCTTTTTTCAATTCTGATAAGCCCAACCTCTGCTCTTTGGTCCCCAGTCCAAGGAACCATAGCTACCTCAGTAGCTCTATTTCTGTGTGACCTCAATGTTCTCTCTTTGCTTTGCAGTCATTCAATATCTACTTAAGCAGTTCCTTGTATTACATTCATTCTGCTTAAATAAGCATTGTGATTTTCTTTGCAGACCCTGACTGATACAGTACTCTGAAAATATTTAGGAGTTAAAAGAAACAGGAATTATCCAACCGATTAAAAAAACTCATAAAAGACAGGGGAATGTAGCTCCGTGGAAGTGCTCTTAATTAGCGTGTTCAAAGCCAATTAAGAGCACAAACAAACCAAGTGGAAAATAGAAGAACAAGGATGGTGTGCATGTGCCTGACTGGGTAGATTTTGATACAAACCTGGTAGATTTTGATACAAAGTGAAAAACACTGGAGTATGTTTAGTGGAGACATCATCAGTTCAGGTTTGCACAAATTCTGTTGAAGGCTCTATTTAGAGCATATGCAAGTGGAAATTCCAATAGGAAGCTTGTTAGTTGGTTCTGGAATTTTTAGAGTATGAATTACACAAAAGATAAAGATATTGTGAGTTAGTTGCTATAGATGAAAAATCCTCAGTGTAAGAAATAAGAATTTAGATACCTTATCAATGTATTTTCTACTCAACAACCTGTATCAACCCCTTGGCTACATAAGGTTATTTCTTATTTAGATATCACAAGGACATTTTCTTTTTACTTTCACACTTTTTAATGGTGACAATTGCTTGTTAATCAGGATGGTTATCTCCGAGCTTTATGCCACCTCTTTCTCTTTCTATAATTCTCTTGCTTGTGAATTTTTTAAAAAAATTTGTCAACTGAAAATTAAGTACAAGACTCAGAAGTCAAATTCCAATGATAATTATTGCTTTATACAAATACGGGATCTTTATTTCTTTAAAAGTCTTATCAAGGCACAATAAAATTTTTAAAGAGTTCATTTGAGCAAACAGTGATTCATAAATTGGGCAACTCCAAACCAGAACGGTTCAGGGAGTCTTTGGAGGGAATGGAAGTGAGACAGACTAGAAATAAGGAAAAGTTCGGGACTTTAATAAACTGTATAGCCAGCCAGGCACCAGTGGCTCATGCCTGTAATCCTAGCTACTCAGGAAGCAAAGATCAGGAGAACTGTGTTAGAAGCCAGCCCTGGCAAATAGGGCTGAGCCTCTATCTCAAAAACAAAAAAAGTTAGTAGAATGGTTCCAGTGGTAAGAGAGCCTGCCTAGCAAAGGTGAGGGCCTGAGCAAACTCTAGTGCCACCAAAAAACTATATAGCCTGATTAAGAGCGCCTCAAGTAAGACCACTCACACTCACCTTTTTTTCAACTGCAAATCCTTTGTTAAGCTAGAAGAAGTAGAAATTTCCACCCACATGGACAGACTTACCTAGGTACCTGAAAATTAGCATAAGTGTATGTGAGTCAATCCAGATCCCCCTCCCCATCCTGTCCCAGCCAAGGGCCTTTGGAGATAGGGAATGATGCGGCTTTTCTCCCCACCTCCAAGTTAAGAATGGTATAAAAACAACCTGCAATAAAAATCTTTCTTCTCTTTTTTCTTGCACATGGCTCCCCTATTCTACCCTGTCAGAGACTGCAACTGTAATC